GTGTTGATTGGTTTAGCATTTAATGTTATTTTAAAAACTTGACTAGGTTCCAGGTATAAGTGAGAACATATGTAGCATGTAAAGTTACTGCACAAAGTTTTTTCTTACTAAGATGATTAACAAGATAGCCAAGCTTTCATTCCTGAAAAAACAGGAAAGTGGAGAGCCATCTAGTTAAAACTGACTGTAAAGGTCAACAATAATATTTTCAGTAGCTCAGCCAAAATACTGGAAGAATGTTCTGTGTCAATAATAAGAAAGGACTCTAGTGGAAAATGTTTAAGTTGAAGGCAAATCCCATTTACTTGGGGTAAGATGTAATATTCGAGCATTGGTTTACAATATTAACTCCTCATATGGTGTGGGTTCTAGCCCTAATATGAGCCAATGTGGCAGGAATGTGGGGAGGAAAGTCAACAGTATTAGTATGTGTTGAGAATAGGATCTACATGAATTTACTCTAGACAACTTAGGAATTACCTAAGTTAACTGAGATCAGTTTCACCATTTTTATAGTAATGAGAAAATATCCCCATTAAAAGCTTTATAAAGTCGCAGAAAACAAAACCGTGAATGCTTTAAAATGGCATACCACCGTAGACATACTAGGGGAACGTCCCTAGTGATAAGCTTTTCTAAAAAAAGTTGGAAAGTTACAGTATTATACCTCACAGTAAGTAACTCCTACATATAAAAAAACAAAAATTAAATCTTGGCCAGAAAAAAAAAAACAACCCACCAGAGCCAGGGGAAAATTAGCATCAAAATTCTGGTGTTGTAGCTTTTATTGCTCACCAGGAAACAAAATAAGAGTTCTGCTACATAAACTCTATTTCTTCAAATTTTACTGCTGGCAGAAATGGAAAGGCAAAAATAAAAGGACAATGAATTAAGGGTAATTACGTGTGTTCATACTAATTTTCATAGAATTTTTCTTCAAAAACAACCTGAAGCAGAAAAATTGTCAACTAAATAAACAGGCCTTTAAAAATCACAGTGTAAAGTTACTTTTAGGTCCAGCTTATGCATGAAATTTTATTCCTGCAACGCTTTGCTGCTGAATTTTAGGAATAATAACCAGTTTGGTGATCATCTTCAGAAAAAAATTTATAAAAATTATTTTGAAACCGAGTATAAATTATTAAGGCAAGTGCAATTTCTTGATCTCTAGTTAAATCTCCTTAGTCACAAACCCCTCAAGAAAAAAAATTAATGGATTAATTTTTTTATATTCATTCAGCCCTTTCTTCTAACTGCCAGGTGAATATCAGATATTTTTTTCTTGCCTTGCCCTACTGAAATGAGACTTAATCAATAAAACAATTAATGAAAGAATCCTTATGGCCCTGGTCGGTATGGCTCAGTTGGTTGGGCGTCATCCCGCAAAGTGAAAGGTGCCAGTTCGATTCCTAGTCAGGGCACATGCCTAGGTTGTGGGTTCAGGCCCACTCAGGGCATGTTTGAAAGGCAACTAATTAACGTTTCTTACCCCAGTGTTTCTTTCTCTCTCTTTTTCCTTCCCTTCCCCTCTCTCAAAAAATAAGTACATTTTAAAAAAATAAATAAATAAAACCTTTTTTTGAAAGAAGCTTTATAACTCAATAAATCTAATCACGTAGAATGTTTATAATTCGGGAAATAAATAATACACTCAGCAAGTACAATGCAGACAGATGATGTTAAATGTGTCCTATTTCAACTTCTGTGTTTTAAAGCTCCTTGGGTACAATAACCGTTGGAGGAACAGGAAAAGTAAGAGTACTTAATATCCTACATAAAATTACAACAGTGGTAGACAATACAGCAGGTCAGTCCCCTAGCTGTCCCCAACCTGCACCCTTGCTAATGGAATTGTGACTGTTCCTATCAGGAAGCTCTTGTGTTCTGCCATCCCCTCCAGGATGCCAGGGACACACATGTGGACTAACCCAAGTAATCCTCAAAGAGCCTGGACCAGCAGCATCAGGATCACCTGAGGACATGCTGGAAATTATATTCTTGGGTACCACTCCCAGCCTACTAAACCAGAAATGCTGGGGACGGGGCAATCTGTGTCTTATCAGACTCCCAGATCATTCTGATGCTGCCGAAGTTTGAGAGCACCTGGTCTAAACCAATCAGGGCATTTCTGGTCCTTCTGCCAAGTACTGAATTGGGCTAGGGAACCATGTGAAGAATGAGCCTGACAGAAATTCTCCTAAGAAGCTTTCAGAATGCTTTATTTGCTCACATACAAAGAATAAGAAGAAACACACCTTATTTTTGATTCAGATATAGTCATGTCTGTATGTGGTACCTGAAACCATAGCAGCAATCTTGTAACCATTAGGTGATAAACCCAAATACCAAGCCAATAGCCAAGGACAGCAGCAGGGAAAGACTGAAGGAACCTGGGCCCTGTGACCATGCTGAGCTATGGACTAGCCCTAGATATTACCCATCACCAGACTCCAATTACTAATTAGCTTGTGGGAACAACTACTCAACAGTTTTAGGCCTCAATTTTCTAACCAACAGAAGGAATGAATCAGATTATAGCACTAATATTACCCTATCCATTTTAAAGAATTCTATTTTTATTTTTAATTTATTGATTTTAGAGAGAGAAAGAAAAGGAGAGAAAGAAACACTGATCTGTTGTCCCACTCTTTCATGCAGGCATTGGTTGATTCCTGTAATTCCTGTATGTGCCCTGACTGGGAAAAACCCTCAACCCTGGTGTATCAGAACAACGCCCTAACCAACTGAGCTACTCAGCCAGGGTAAGAATTACACTCTTAATTTAATCTTTAAGGGGTCCTGAAAAGACTATGTGATAAAAATTCATCTCTCATTAAAGGGACTATCAATAAGAATTTTTATGTTATGATAAGACATTAATTTTTCTGCAACTAAATACAAACATTTCCAGAAAAGGGACATAATAGTCCTGCCAGGTTGAAAGATGAGTGCATGGCATCAGGTCCTGCCAATTCCCAATTACTCACATGAAGAGAAGGATGGTATTCTGTGGGTACACACTTTTAATTCAAGGCTTCAAATTTACTTGCTGATAGAACTTCCTCTTCACTCAAAAGTCAAAAGGTAAAAAATGCAAACAACTGACTCATACTTCTACCTTCCACTGGAATCACAGTTAAATTCATGTAAGACAAGAAGGAGAGATGGGCTAAGAGGAGGCAGAAGATCACTACACTGGAAAGATGTCTGCGAAAACCAACAGCCACAGAGAATTAAAAGTGGTTTACTGTTATTTTTGGAAAGAAAGAGATTTCCTCATGCTCTAACTTCAACTAATATTAAAGGCACACAAAAATCCTTATCTGACAATTAATAGGTACAGAGTACTTTTAATATATTTCAAGGCCTCTTTACTTTAAGAATTAATATTAGAAGACTTTATAATGGAAAAAAAGATGGCCACAACTTCCTCTAACCAGAGAGTATCAGCTAGAATGAAAACACTACTGCACTACCACTAAAACAAGGGCACCATACAGCTAACACCAATATGGCTAAAATCCTTTTATAATAAACTTCCAACATAACCATACTTACTATTACTTAACCTCATTTTACTGAATGACTGTAATACTAAAGACATCTGCCCAAGCTGCAGAACTCAGATGCAAGAGAACTGATGCACAACTCACATGTAGTGAATTTATTCTTTCCTGCCATGCTCCTCTTCAAAAAAGTATTTGAAGCTAAAATGAATGAATGGGCAGGGCAAACTAGGTGGATAGTTGGGGCCCTGGGTGGATAGCTCAGTTAGTTAAAGCATTGTCCCAACAGGCCAAGGGTGTGGTTCAATCCCTGGTCAGTGTCCATATAAGAATCAACCAATTAATACATAAAAGGGTGGAACAGTGGATTGATGTTTCTCTCTTCCTTCTCTCTCTCTCAAATCAATTTTAAAAAATATAAACTGGATGGATTGGGAGAAAATGGCATGCAATATTTTCAACTGCTTAGTTTCTAGATTTTGTGATATGTTTTATTTTGTATGTCAGTTTAAAGATTAATTGGGATAATTGCTTTGTTTAAGATGAGGCAGGACAAGAAATCTACAAAATAACTGCTACTTGATGACAGAAGCACAAAGAGATCACCCACAGCTCAACACTGCGGTGCTGTCTGCATATGAAGAGAGCAGACTCAAGTTCTTTAGCTACAGAGTAACTGGCAAAGGAAGAAAGACAGCAATTTCACTTCTGGAAAGTTATCCTAAAGAAAAATTAGCAAAGTGCACAAGGATTTAGATATTCACTGCAGAACTGTATATAAGAACAGAAGACTGGTCAAACAAATTATGCTGTTGCTATCCACTGGGATATATTAAGTTAATTTTAAATAATGATGCATTTAAGTATTTAATATCACTTAAAAACGTTTGCTATATACTGATAAGTACAAAGGCATCATACTAAGCATATGAATTATATGATCCCATTTTTGTTTAAAAAAATTAGAGTATAGTTTGAGACAGGTCCATCTATATTATATCTATAATTGATAAAGTTCTGGAAGAATATAACACTGGTAAGACCATGGGTGCTTTTACATTTCCTGTTTTTGTTTAGCTCTAGTTCCTAATTTTGTATTTCTATAATAAGCATATACTAGGGGTGTTTTTGTCCTTTATTTTTAAATTTTTTTATTTTTAAATTTTTTAATTACAGTTGGCATTCAATATTTTTATATTAGTTTCAGGTAGAGGGCAAAGCAGTTAAGACATTTATACACTTGTTTTATAATAAAAGTACCAAAACATTTAATGGGCAGAGACATAGAAAACCCATTTAAAGATGATCATTGTATAGTAATTTCTGTATAAGGAAAAGAAAGCTTTGCTTTAAAAGGCCATTTGAGAACATGAAATAGACTCGTTACATGGAACTGTTGTTTATAACAGCTTTTGAACTAATGGAGTTTCGTCTGTAGAAAAACTCTCACAAGTACAGAAACTACTGATGTGGAAGTACAAGAGATATACTTACGGCTGAGTAAAGTCACGAGTGATGAAGTCGGAACTCTTGAACAGTAGAAAGATGTCACTGAGGGTTTTACATTTCAGGGAACTATTCATTGCTATCCAGTATGCATCCTAAATAATAAAACACATGCTACTTAGTATATATTCCAAGTCAGTTGCTATGAACAAAAACTCAATCCTATACACCAAAACAATAACGCTATTTCTTCAATGGCTTAAAGAAAAAAGCCAAGTAAGAATTTTAGCTATGGTGTCAAATGTCAGTTGAACTTTTAAACAATGATTAGCATCACTGTTGCATGCTGACACTCATTATGAACACAGATGATAAAGTCCCACCTTTCAGCTCAGGTCAAGCATCTCCCTAAGTTTATCTTGTTAATAATGAAAGAAGGGTAAAAAAGATATCAGAGATGCTGACTCTTCAGCTAGAAGATCAGGGTGTAAATAAACAGCCTGACTAACAACTCTCTAGGAAAAGGAGATCCTTTCTTTTCTTTCTGTTCCTGAGGAGTGAGAGCCGAAACAGCTGAAGTTTGACTAGAGCACTTAAGACCCATGAATATAACAAATCTGGGAGAGAGAAGGTAAGATATTCTGAACCATCCAAATTTTAAATGGTGAATCACACATATGAACAATAATAACAACAAAAAAAGTAAGAATATCAGGCACAATAGATAGACACAGAGCATAATGAAACATGCCTTAAAATGATAAGAAGGAGCTACTACCTTTTGCAACAACATGGATGGAACTGGAAAGCATTATGCTGAGTGAAATAGGCCAGGCATTGAAGGACAAATACCATATGATCTCACCTTTGACAGGAAGCTAAAGAATAAAACAAACAAGCAAACAGAATAAAAACAAAGACACTGAAATAGAGAACAAGTGGGCAGCGACCAGAGGGGAGAGGGAAGGGAATTTAAGGGGAAAAAGGGGGAGGGATTTTGAGGAACAAGTATGAAAGACACAGGGATGAGGACTGGGGGGGGGGGGGGGATGGGAGGGAGGGGAAAGACCAGGTGGGGGGGTGGGGGGGGATGGGAGAAATAGATTAAAAAAATGTATTTGAAAAGTAACTAAATAAAATTTAATTTAAAAAAAACAAAACAAAACATACTTGTGCCCTGGCCAGGGTGGCTCAGTTGGTTAGGCATCGTTCTACAAAGCAAAAGGCCATGGGTTCAGTTCCCAGTCAGAGCACATGCCTAGGGTGTGGGTTCAGTACCCAATTGAGGAGCCATGAGAGGGAATCAATTGCTGTATCTCTCTCACGTTGATGTTTCTTTCCCTCTCTTTCTCCCTTCCTTCCCTTCTCTCTAAAAATAAATACTTCTCCCACAGATACATCAGACATGGGACAATAATGTAATTTTGAGAAAACTAATGAGATTAAAAAAAAACTATCAATTATCTACAATATAGGGAAGCACTGGCACACAGTGGGCACTCAAATGATTTACCTATCTTAACTGGAAAGCCTCAGTCCAGTTCAGAGGTAAAGTATGATCTAAATTACTGCTCAAGTATACAGTAAAAATGAGGTTTAGTAACTTATTTATAATGTCTTTTAATTCCCCCCAATGAAAAAGATGATGAACTTCTGATTAATGATGTATATTGAACACAGAGATTTAACTCCACTAAAACAAGAATATATATCTATATAAACCATCCAACTGAATAAACAAGACAATTATTAAGTCCAGGGAAAACAAAATGTTGACTAAGAAAACAAGTTACCATAGTACAGGATATCAGATGTGTCCACAGTGTTTGCAAAATCACATTAGAAACACTGAATACGAATCCAGTGAAAAGCGCATTTACTGCAATGAGAATAGAATAGAAAGCACTGAAGAAGCCTAGACTTCCAGTCAAGATAGAGGCAGAGGTAAACATGGCTCACCTCCTAGCACAACCACATCAAAACTACAGCTAAACCATAGAACAACCATCACTCAGAACCAACAGAAATCAAACTGAAGGGAAGTCTGACAACTACGGAATTAAAGAAACCATACCCATCTGGACTGGTAGGTGGAGCAGAGAACAAAAGCACCCCCGGCTGGTCCCACATCTACATGTGGGGCATAAAAATTCAGGAGGGATACTCTGGGAGACAGGGGTCTCAGCCCCACACGGGCCCGCCAGCCCAGGGTTCCAGTGAAAGGAAGATAAGTCCTGATAACTTCTGCTTGCAAAAACCAGTGGAAGTAAGTTGACAGAAATTTCTGGAGTCATGAGCAGTTCCTCTTAAAAAACCCAAGCACGCACTTACTCAGATTCATTCCCTCTAAACTCCAGAAGCAGGATAGCAGCTTGAAAGGCACCAGTGGCAGAAAGGCAGGAACCAAAGTGTCTAGCATTAAGGCGAGAGCTGGGGGACAGCCTTCTCCCAGACAGAGAAGTAGGCAGAGGCCACTGCCCCTTTTCTGAGCTCTCCCCCACGGAGCCATAGAACAGGCAGGTTGGTGCCATATTTGAGACTCCATCAAACTGGCTAACACTGAAGGGGGCCTTCCAGATCCCCTGAGGTTCTGTCCCACTCAAATTATGGGCCCACCCAAGCTGTTAACAGTGGCTTTTCCATATGAATACCTAGTCTTGGCTCATGCTTCATAACTTCCTAAATCCTCTCAAACAAGCAACAGCTGGCCTCATGAGCCCCCAACCCCCAATCCCTACACCTCTTGCAAAGTGGCCCCAGGCCTGGCATTAGCAGAGGCCAGCTTTGGGTAACCATTAGGCTTTGCCAGGGAATCTCTAAGCCCAGCACAAGTGGCAGCCACCTCACATTGCTTTACAGTTTGCCAGGTGGCCCTGGGCAGGACACAGGTGGGGGGCTGACCTTGGCCTGCACCACCCAGGAAACCCTAGAGCCTGCACACACGGTGGGCAGCCAGACCATGTTGGAGCACCACATCCCTGCCCCTGCACAGTCGATCCTCCACAGAGGGCAGAGGTTGGTGATCGGTGGTTACAGCCAGTCCTTGCAGCCGACTGGCCTAGGTGAATCCCTCCCATTGATCTGTCAACAGCAACCAAGGCTCAACAAGAGGAGGGTGTACTCACCCCACACAAAGGGCATACCTCAAGTACCCAGCCTGGGTGATAGAGAAGGCTCTGCCATTGGACCCTACAGGATACCTACTACATTAGACCACGCTACCAAGACATGGTGTCAAAACAGCTTTACCTAATACATAGAAACACACACAGGAGTCTGCCCAAATGAGGAGATAAAGAAACATGGCCCAAAGGAAAGAAGAAATCAAAGGAAAGAAGACAAAGAGCTAAATAACATGGAGATAAGCAATTTAGCAGATACAGAGTTCAAAACATTGGTTATAAGGATGCTCAAGGAACTTAGTGAGGACCTCAACAGCATAAAATAGATCCAGTCAGAAACAATTTAGTGTATCCAGATCCAGGATACACTAAATGAAATAAAGAACAATTTACTGGGAAACAACAGTAGAGCAGATGAAGCTGAGAATCAAATCAATGATTTGGAATCTGAGGAAGCAAAAAACAACCAATCAGAACAAGAAGAAGAAAGACGAATCCAAATAAACCAAGATAGGCTAATGAGACCATGGAACAACTTCAAATATACCAACATTCACATCATGGGGGTGCCAAAAGGAGAACAAACGAGAAACTGGAACTCTATTTAAAATAATACCTAGAGAAAACTTCCTTAATTTGGTGAAGGAAACAGACATATGAGTCCAGGAATCACCACACAAGACAGACATAAAGAGGCACACTGCAAGACACATCCTAATTAAAATGCCAAAAGTTCAAGATAGACAGAATCTTAAAAGCAGCAAGAGAAAAGGAGTTAGTTATCTACAAAGGAGTTCTCATAAGACTGTCAGCTGATTTCTCAAGAGAAACTTTAAAAGCTAGAAGGGATTGCCAAGAATATTCAAAGTCATAAAAAGCCAGGACCTACAGCCAAGATTGTTCCACCTAGGAACGACGTCATTTAGAACAGAAGAGCCGATAAAAAGCGTCCCAGACAAGAAACCACTAAAGGAGTTCACCATTACCAAACCATTATTATATGAAATGTTAAAGGGACATATTTAAGACAAAGAAAATCAAAACTACGAACAATGGCCAAAAAATACGTATCTATCAACAACTGAATCTAAAAAACAAACTAAGCAAACAAGAAGATACAGACAGAGAGCATCTGATGGTGCCAGATGGGAGACAGGTATAGGGAAATGAAGAGGTGAGGGGATTTATAAATAGGTGGTCGCAGAATAGCCTTAGGGATGTGAAGTACAGTATAGGAAATGGAGAAGCCAAAGAACTTGTATGCAAGACCCATGGATATGAACAGTGTTGGAGGGATTGCCTGAGGGAATGTGGGGTGCTGGGTGGAGGGGGGCAAAGGAGGAAAAATTGGGATAATAGTAATAGCATAATCAATAAAATATAATTTTAAAAACAAGAAAGTAATGAGGACAGGAAATAAAAGCTGAATCTTTCTGTTTTAGAGTAGCAAGTCAATAATACCTAAAACTGAAGAATAAAGAAATAGAGGAAAATAACAAAAGAATGTACTAAAATATTTAAAGCCTCTGAGTGGGAAATGGTGAAGCAAAGTATATCAGGACTTGTTAACTTTGTAGCAAGCAACCAGAGCTTTTGAAAATTTAAACTATGTATATGTGTAATTAATTTTAATAAGTAAAAATAAAAATTAGATTAAGTACAACTTGTCACTTAAATTTGTAAGTACAACTTTAGGATAAAAAAGATAAGCATAAATTAATTTCTGAAAATGCAAATAAGTTTTTGATTCTTTCAGTGAACTTAGCTGACATAAAATTGTTTTCTATTGCATTGGAAAAAAATAGTAAATTTTTACACAGACCTTAACTTAGAAAAAAATCTTGTCAGTGTAATGTTAAAATAATAAAACATTTACTTAAGAAGGTATCAGTTGATTTCTTAAACTGCTCTATTTCTAGATCTTGTAACATTTACATTTTACTAATTTTAATAGAGAAAAATTTCTCCATTAAACTGAACGGCTGAAGTTTTAAAAAGGACACAGCATATACTTCATGAGATTTCCTGTACGATCAGTACCACAAGAAGCTGAAATTGTCTTTCAGCAAAATTTATCATGCTTTACAGTGCCAGGAAAGTGTAATGCACAAATCAGGAAAAGAAAATACCAGGGAAACAAAATTAATTCCCCAGTACTTTCCCTAGAATTAGGAATATAATTAGACCCTCTGTGGGGACATAAAGTGAAATGAAGAGCAAAGCAAACACTACTCGAATGACAACAGATTTCCTGCTGTGGCCTACCCTTGGGGCACTCCAGTTAAGCTTAGGAAACACACTGCCCCCCAGGGAATTGATAGCTTCTTGGACTGTAGTGGTGAACTCGGGAAATTCTGGTGCCTATGGAGAGAAAGAAGAAATTATTTGGGTAAGTCAATATCATCACAGTAAATATAGAAAACAAGGTCAAATCTCAAGGTTAAACTATTTAGGGAGTTAAAAATAATTCAGAATTTAAATCACTATCAGAATTCTGAACTCAGCTAAATAAAATTAATGATCAAATAACATTTACCAGGAAGGGGGAAAGTGCCCAAATGCCATTTTCTAAAACAATGAAAATCCATATAGCTAAAAAGACAGATGTCACAAGGCATCTGGGGATGTGAGGAATGGTTCTCTTAACACCTACATAAACCCAGTATTTCTTTATTAAGTGAAAAGAGAAAGAGAGAGTATTACTTTCTCTCTCTTGAGAGTCCAATTCGCAGAAATAACCCCTGACATTTAAAGGCCCAGAAGCCTTTCCATTTGCAGGAAAAGATTCTTGGACAAATCCCTAAAAGGGTTTATGAGAATGAGAAATAAATTATGTGGTAAATTGTATTTAAACACTGCTATTTCCAGACAAGTTTTAATATAAACAAAACTTAAAAACAGGACCTTGGTGAAGTTTAAATCGACCAACCATTTTGGTTGATTTTAAAAATACGTAGTTTATATAAGCATTCTAAAGTGTCATTTCGACCAGGAAGCAGAAAGAAATACAGTGGTGAAGGAACTCTAACGCAGTTACTCTCATGCTCTCCTCGAGCCTGTGTCGCTGTGAAAGGGGTGCATGGACGGATGTGAAGTGCGGAAAAGTGGACTGAGGAAGAGCCGTGAGAGTGGAACCTGCAGGAGAGCCAACACTGAAGTTCTAACAGTTCCACAAAGTCACAGGCTCCCTTTCCATTTGCTGCCCTCTACTGGGCAGCTGCAAGTTCTGAAAAAGTCCAGTAATAACAAACTTCCATAGAGGGGAAAAAGTTAGAATAGGCTTAGAATTAGCTAAACTACACAGTGAAAAATAAATCAAATGGTTTACGGCAGCCATCTTCACCGGGTCTGCTGTGGTACACCATTGGGTGCACACTGGTGCGCTGCAAGGATTTTTAAAATATGCAGCACCTGACGGTTTAGTCGGAGGCACTGACCTCTTTTCCCTTAGACTGTCAAACTAAAAAATGACAACAGCCAACACAACAATAGCCATCCAGTGTGAATGAATCAAAATTATACCTGATGGTTTTGTCTGACTGGCAAAAAATACTGATTTATTTTTGTGTGTGTGCTACAGAATTGGATTGATTAGTTTATATGTACCATGAGGTGAAAAATGTTGAAATCGCTGGCTTATGCTTATCTCCAAGATCTAACCCAGTTATGACAGAGAGAAAACTGTGACAAGAGTGTGACAAAACAGACCAAAAATGTACGTTAAGAAAATGGAAGTATATCCCCACAACTCGAGGGCAGCTTTAAGCAACAGGCGAGTGAGAAGTGACTGAAGAAATCAAGGCAGTCCAGACGAACTTTTTTTTTTTTTTTTGCTGCAGATGTGCACGGCCTCTAGACTGGTTAGCAGCATCTTTTATTTATTTGACAGCCTGCCTACATCTTCTGTCTGACTTTTTCAGCTTATATACATAAAACTAAACTCTAGCGAGAAGGTTCAAAAATCAGTAACAGCCTTGAATCCTTTATTTTCCATTTGCTTTTCCTCATCAAAAGAAATAATAATTCATGCTAAGCCATTAATTTCCTTATGATCCATTGAAGTTGCTGATTTGGCTCGGCAGGAGCTCTATCCACAAAAACCCTTGAGTTAGATATGCATTAGCAATGATTTTGACAACTGGCATAGTTACACAAAATTTACAGCATGAAGGGATTTAATTTTCAAAGATAAAATTTAATTTTCCTATCCTATAAAACTTCACATATAAGAATTGTTTAAATTTACATACTGCATTTTAAAACAGATGGTTGATTCCTTAAATCTTCAAAATCATTCAACTTTAAGAAATCCTGACATAAGAATTCTAATACCAATTTAAATTATAAAAAGTATGCACTGTAGAGAAAAATTTGTACTCCAGTGGAAGACTATGTATTGTCTACATCGAGCGCTCCATTCTCAGTTATCCAATTCTAGAGTCTTCTGACTATTCTACAGGGAGGTAAACTGTAGGTAAGCAATGACAACGAAAAGTATTTCTATGGCTTCGAAAATTCTATCCTGACCGATGGAAATCCAGCTGTCTCCCCTCCCACCCTTGAGGAAAAACTGGTTGTATCTCATTTGCATAATCCTTTCAATATTCCTAATGTATAAATGTGTCTGTTCTTTGGGTTCTCTTTGAACCAGTTATGTAACAACTGCCTGACTCCCTCATGAGTTAAATAAAGCAATCGAGGTGTGTTAAACAGTTGAGTATCTATAAGGGAGTCATGGTTCCACCTCTTTCTGAAAACTCTACTTTGACAGATTTAACTAACAATAATCTTTTAAGCTCATAGCTCAATGAATTGACTTTAAATTTGTATAACCCCTCAGTTGTCTTGGAAAAGGTTCCATTCTAAGTAGGGTAAAATCCACACTTTAATCACATTCAGGGACTTTCCTTCAATCTGGGCTTATCTATCTTTCCAATTTTATCCACCACACCCAAGCACCAGACCCAGTGGGCAAGGGATTATCTCTTAAAATTTTTTTTAAATCATAAAATGTTTAAAATGTACAAAAATATATATACCCTTGTTCTTGGATCCAAATACTCAATAATTTGGCAAACATTCAACAATCTGACCCAGACCTTTAAATTTCTTACGGGGGTAAAACAAACAGTGCAATACCAATGAGGCTCTTTACCTCCTTTCTCTCCTCCCTAATTCTTCCCTCTCCCCAAAGAAACCATCATTACAAAATTAGGTATATTCTTCTGTAGTCATGATTTTATACTTGTGATACATGTGCTTGTCTACAGAACATTAAAAAGCTTTAACGTAACTGCTGTCATTTGATATGCACACTACTTACTGGTACTTACTGGTACTCTTTGAAATTCACTATTGTGCTTTTGAGATTTATCCATCTCTGGCCGTTTTTGTTTTTTCTTCCTTCCATTTTTAACTCAATGTTTTTGTATCTGCACTAATGGACAATTGCCATTGGCCAAGACCTTCCATCTTCCCACCTTGGGTCACGGCTCACACTCCCCTACTAGAAGTGTTCTTCTGCCATAAATGTCCCCCTGCCCAACATCTAATTCTGCCCAGTGAAACCCAGTCACTTTTTTCAATTAACTTTTTATTTTAAAACAATTTCAGACTTTCAGAAGCATTAAAGGAGTAACAAAATTTCTGTCTCTTCACTCAGGCATTTTACTACATTTGCTTTACCATTCTCCCCTCAACTCCCTCTCAATATATAACTATGCAGGTGTTGTGTATTTATTTATATTCATGTACATAAAACACACTTTTCTTCCTATACTCTTTTAAAGTAAGTTGAAGTCACGATGCCCATTTACTCCTTAATACTTCAGCACATATTTTCTAAAAAGTAGTAACACTCTTTTATATAACATAGCAAAATTATCAAAACCAGTGAGCTAACACTGATAACTACCATATTTCATTGACATCTCATTAAAAATGTGCCCATTTTCCTAAAAAGTGTCTTTTGTAACAAAAGAAAACATGTTTTTCTCACCCAGGATCCAGTCTAGAATCATGCATTACATTTAGTAATAAAGTCTATGTAATATCCTTTAATCAGAGTAATAGTTCCTTTCGCTGTTCTTCATCTTTCATGACTTTGACATTTTTGAAGCTTACAGGGCAGTTATTCTATATAATTTCCAAAACAATGAGTTTGTGGAAGTTTCATGATTAGATTCAGGTTATGCTGTTTTGGCAGGTGATGTGCATCTGATCAGAAAGCAGACAACGTAGGTCTGTCTGTCCTAACCAGGTTAACTTTTGCTCACTTGACTAGCCAGGTCTTTCCACTGTAAAGTTACTGTTTTTCCCTGTGAAATTAATAAGTAATTTTGGTGGAGATACTCTGAGAATATACAAGTATCCCCTTTCTCATCAACTATTCACTCACTAGTTTTAGCATCTATCCTGTGGTAGCTGACAAATGGTGACTCCTAATTCTATCGTTTCTTCTACATTTATCACGTTTCTTCTGCATTGGTGCCTTTTCTACTACAAAGAAGGGCTTCCCCCTCTGCTTCCTGTATTTAATTTAATCATTTATGTCAGTGGGGGATCATGGATTCTAATTCTGGTCAATGATTCCTGTCCATTACTTCCATCATTTGTTAGGATGCCCATCTACTCGGCCAGTGGGAGCCCACTAAGGCTGGCTTCTGGTTCCTTCCCGTCACATCCCCATCTTTCTCTGAGCACTTCCTCACTTTCTGACACAACAAACTGTTGCATGCTCATCTTTACTTTCCTACCCCCAGTCCTCTGAGTTTCTCCAAGGAGCTTTGGTTCCCTTTCACGGAGAATGGTGTTTAGAAACCACAGGGCACTAGGGGTGCTCGTTGCTGTTGTGATGTCATGTACCATTACTTCTAGGCCTTAGCGAACAGTTCATTAAATAGACACACATGCACACATGTATATTAATTTCTGTAGCTCTGTTTTAAAATGTGAGTCAATATTGATAATCCTTACTGCTTTTAGGGTCCAGAGCAAATGTCATTTCTCCCTTTACAGGAGATCCCCTCAGCTGTAACTGTTCTCTTTGTTAAGATAGCTTTTTGTCATCTTCACCCAAACTAGGGCATCTTTCCCTACTGATTTATAACCTCCATGGTGGCAGGAATGAAATCATATCCATGATTTGTAACTTCACAGAACCCATTGTAGTGCCCTGGATATGGCAGAAAACTAACGTGTACGCTGTACTGATAGCATTTTCATAAAAGGAGAACGATTGACCTGTATGACAGTGAAATAAAACACACCATCTTCCCCTTTCTGAATATGCTGGCATGCTCTTTATACCTAAAAAAATACATCAGTTTAGGCAGCTCTACCCTTTTTCTTATACCCTGAAAATCACAGGTCTTTCATTAAACAGAAGTATCTTATTTAGAATTCTATTAAAACATACCGTCCCCGCTGAAACTAGTCTCCTTCAATGTGCCTTCACATTTATTTATAGGGAATTTTGTAAAAAACCTTTCTCTATTACCTCAAGATATGAGGAGTTTCATTCACCTACCGTATTTTTAGAATACATTTTTTTACTTTACTCATTCCTGTAGATATTTTTATTTTAAAAATATTTTAAGTTAAATTTGACAATAGCAATGGCACTCTTACCCTGAAAGACTATAATATGCTGAATCAACTTTTACATTTTTATACAAGCTATGGGTTAAAGTCATAAACCTCTCTGCTCTCACTTAAAAGAAACTGCATGCTTCTTGACATTTAAATATACTTGAGTAAGTGAACACAGATTTTCACTTTAATTTAGCTTCCACAGATCTAGACTCGATTCCTTCCTTCATAGCTTAAGAGAAACAAATCAAAGCATCAATTACACACTTCAAATAATGTCCTTGTAATCAAAGGGAAAAAAGGGCAGGCCATGTTTGCCTATAAAAAATGATACGAAGCCCTGGCTGGCATAGCTCAGTGGATTGAGCACGGGCCTGTGAACCACACGTTCACAGTTCGATTCCCAGTCAGGGTGCATGCCTGGGTTGCAGGCTGGTTCCCTGCAGGTCAGTTCCCAGCAGGGGATGCACGAAAGGCAACCACACATTGATGTTTCTCTCCTCCTCTCCTTCCCCTCCTCTCTCAAAGATAAATAAAAATCTTAAAAAAAAATGATATGAGTTATTTTCCTAAATAACAGATACTAGCCAACACAGAAAAGGCTGTTTGGAACGGTAAGTAGACGGGAACTGGAGGCCTGCACCGGACCCCGAAGCAGCTGTGTGGCAGTGCGAGGCTGCCCCCAAGCTGGTACTCTGCTCTTACCGTGAGCGTGGCTGTGTTCTCATCATCTGACCACTGCATGGGTGAGAGGACAGAAAAAAAAATTAAATGCAGATACTGTACTGGGCCTTCAAAAAGCAATGCTCCATGTAAAAATGATACATAAACAGGTGACATCTTTTCCTGAACACAAAATATATGTAAATAAAAGTATAATAAAAGTGAGATTTTCATGTAATTTCTCCCTTTAATGAATACATGCTAAGATATAAATGTCAGAACTATTTCAGAGGTCACTGAAATGAGAAGAGTCTACAGAACGGAGTAATTTATTTTGAACCAACCTGTATTTCTTCTCCCTCATCATCACTGTCTGGCTGAGACCGTGTTGGAGGATCTTCCCTAAAAGAACATAAAGCAAAAATTAAGCAAGAAAAAGGCTATGGTACCAAATAGAAATAGTTTCAGATTAGGAAAAGTCTACTTTGTGAGACAGAAAGTAATAAAACCAATATGAAATGAATTAGAGTACCAGGAAGATGACAGAATAAAAACTGCCTGCCCTTTTCTCAGAAATCATTTAGAAACAAGGGAAAGACAACTCAAAGTCCACCTCTGATAACACTAAGAATCATCCACAACTCTAAATCCAGTGAATAAGAAAGTGCTGCTGAGATGAGGAAGATTGAATGGAAGACAGACAGCAGAGGAGGCATCTGAAGACCTGTTCTGCATGGCTGATGGAATACCCCTGAGGGGCAAGAACAGTTTCATCTCAGAGAAACATCTCTTTGGTTCATTCTTGTATCCACGGGGATTGAACCTGCAACTCTGGCCTAATGGGATGATGTTTTAACCAACTGAACTACCTGGTCAGGGCAGACACAATCTCTTTGAAGAAGCAGGTGTTGGATGCGGCCACCTAGCAGCCAATCTCACTGCCAGGGAAAAGCAAAGGCTGAAAGAACTCAAAGGGGATAACAGAGTCCTGGCCTCTCCTCAATACCCAGCTACAAACAACTGGCCTAGGAAGAACTCACATAATTGAAACAACAATAATCAGAATAACAGCCGGCACATGACCTATACCAAGAAACTACAAGAACAAGGGAAATGAGGCCTCTGGTTAACCATGGACATTTATCTATCCCCAAGTTCCACTGTTTAACTCCACAAAAATGACACGGAAGATCCCAAAGAGAAAGAAGGAAGATGGCAACAAAAGTCTGGAAAACAGAAAGCCAGAGGGGACAGCCCACTGAGCATCAGCTAGAAGCTGGAGACCTCTGGATGATGAGACTGAAGCTCTGGGCTTAGAACAGAGTGACTTGTGTGAGGTCCATAAAAGGGCAGCAAGACTTACCCTGCCTTCCTCAACCTGCATACCCGAGCAACGAATCCTCCTCCACCCCCATGGGTAAGCAGGTTTATTCTCTGGGAAAACAGTGAACTAGAGAGGCTCAGGGCTCAGGTCCATAACAGCCCATAGCACATGGGAATGAAATGCTAGCAGAGGATGAGAAGCCACGTGAAAGTCATGAACAGTGAGACCCCTGGTTCCCGTCCTCCCACCCCATTACCAGAATGGTAGACAGACCAGAAAATCCTTCTCTGTGGAAACGGAACAAGCCCAGAGGAAAGACCTACAGATAACGTCATCTGGAACCTTCCATCAGTCCCTACTGACTGCTGGCAGTCTTCGCCAACAAGCCCCACCCAGGTCCACAGTTTCCAAATGTGTGTTTGCGTCCCTCACTCTTAAATATGAATACGGGCCTAAAATCATCACAAAACTAAAGAAGGCCTTCAAGAGAAAAAAAGGTACATGGAACAAGTAAGGCAAAAAACAGACCAAATGAAAAATATTTTAAACATGATTAATATCCTTAAAGATAAAAGAACAGCCCTGACTGGCGTGGGTCAGTGGGTTAGGCTTCGTTTCGTGAAGTGAGAGGTCACCCATTCAAGTCCCGGTCAAGGCACATGCCTGGGCTGTGGTCTGATCTGTGGCCGGAGGCAGCCAATCGATGTTTCTCTCACACATCACTGGTTCTGTCCCTCTCTTTCCCTCTCTCATCTCCTCTAAAAATAAATAACTAAATATGTTTTTGAAATGTAAGAAAAGATCAAAGAAGATAATGAATTCATAAAACAGGAGGCTTTATAAGAAAGGAACAAAAAGACTGAACTTGTAGAAACTGAAAATAGCTGAAATTTGAAAATTCAAAATGAATGGCAAATCAAGGAAATTACCTGGAAAGTAGAACTAAAACAACAAAGAAATGCACAATAAGAAGAAATAATAAAATACAGAGAATTAATCCAGCAGCTCCAACATCTACATAACAGTGGAGTTCCAGAAACAGAAGCAAGAAAACAAGAGGAAATTATCTAAGACATATTTTTAAATGTTCCAAAACCAAAAAATATATTTCAGTCTCCAGAATGAAAGGGCCCACAAGGGCGTAGCACAATGGAAGAAAGGAAAAAAAAAAAAAAACTTAGATGAAGTGCCAAGATGGCTACAATAATTCTTCCCATCACATTAGATAAGCCTTTCTGAAGGGTGACTTTGCTACTCTTCCCATGAAGATACAGCATTTATTTTCCCATCCCTTTCATTTAGACTGGTTTTAAGACTCTCTGTGACCAACCAAAGGCAGCACAGATCCCCTGTGATTCTAAGCCTAGGTGCCAAAAAAGTTTTTTCAGCATCCACTTTTTTTTTTAGGAACACAGCCACCACTGTGTAAAGAAGCTAAGATTAGGCTTTTTGAGGATGAAACCACATGGAAAGAGAGGTCCAGCTGACAGTCAGCATCAGCCACCAGACATGTAAATGAGGACATCCCATTTGCTCAAGCCACCATATCATTACAGCTGCATAAGTGACTTTGGCAAGACCAACAGAGGACCTGCCCAGTGCCAAGAATTACAGAGGCTCTGAAACTTTAGCCTATGTGCAAGCTAACAAGTGAGCCTATTTGGTTCTTAGCTTTGTGCATCTAGAAACTCAATTCTACAGAATTACAAAAAGTTGATTAAAATTGAGGAAACATATACATTAACCAAAATCACAATAGACTGAGTAAACCAATGTATCAATTTCTTGACTTACAGAGAAGGATATGCCTTTCCCATGATTGCTAACATAACACTTAGTATATAATATACCCTTAACAAATTCGAGTGAAACCATTTCTTAACAATGTACTTATGCTATTATTTGTTAATATCATCACCAACTTAGAGATTATTCCTTGGCAGAGTTGTGAAGGTTCAAAGCACAAACATATCTAATATGTATTTTATAACTGGCATCTACTATCATTGTGCCTTAAGAAAGACAGGTCAAGAAAGACAGAAGTTAGGACCAAAAAGGGACAGTGAGGATCAGTACTTGGGGGCACTGTGAATCAGGCCATCTGAGACACACCCAATTTGTGGGCCTGATTCAAGTTATCGCCTCTACTACAAAAGAGCTAAAACATTCACATAGTATAGTAACAGATGGAACTATGGAATTCTATAAATAATACTTTAAACATACACACTCATTCAACAAACTTACTATCTAAATTCAGGGAGACAAAAAGATTAGGACAGCAAGGGATATACTTAGAGAGATATAGACCTAAACCCACAAACAAGAAACAAAAGTGGAGCTTTAAAAAGACATGTGTGAAAAAAGCTACTCCATGATGAAACCCAACACAGATGAATCTCAAAAGCATTATACTGAATTGAAGATGCCAGCCACAAAAGAACACATACTATATGATTCCACTTACATGAAGTTCTACAACTGACAAAACTAAGCTATGGAGACAGAAATCAGACCAGCATTTACCTGGGTGGGAAGTGGGAGGTAGAAGGACAGACCAAAAAGGGACACAAGGGACTTTCTGGGGCATGGCAATGGTCAGTATTCTCAATGCAGTGGTGGTAAAACAGGTGTATATATTTAATCAAAATTCATCAAATTATACCTTCAAAAACTGTGCATGTTACTGTAAATGTACCTCATCTAAATTATACGTATAATTTTGAAGAAGAACTGAGAGTAATTCTTGCCACTTCCTTTGCCATCACCAAACTTTGAAGGTATGAGCTCCATTCACTTTTCCCGCTCCAATGTCACCATCTCAGTTCAAGCCACTAGCAGTTCTCACTTGATCCAATGCAATCCTCCGAACAGGTCTACAAGTCCCACACAGGAACCAGTAATCGTTCACAAACTACAATCTGCTGAAGTCACTCCTGCTCAGAGCCCTTCAATATCTTCCTACTGAACTCACAATAAATTCAAGGATCTTTAACATGACCCCCCACATACACACCTCAACCTGAACCCTAACCACCTCTCATTTCAATGACTGAGTCTCACACCACTCCCCCCTACCATGCTCCAACCACCTGACCCTCTCTCCTTAGTTTCTCACGTGTGAAGATCTTCCATAACTCAGAGCCCTCCTTAATGCTGTTACCTCAGCCTGGAAGATTCTTCCTCCACCCTTCAACTGACTACGTTCCACCCAAACTCCGTATCTCAGAGGCTCATGAGTTACTTCTTCGGAGTGTTCTCTGACCCTGCCTGCAATCCTCTGCCCCACTCCCACCCCCAGTGACTTAATATGTCAGCGCCCTCCCCATTTCCTTCACAGCCTCATCACAACTTTTCACCTATATATTTACTGGTGTGTTTGTTTAATGTCCAGACTGAAATGAACGATGATCTGAGAGCAGTTAGTACTTCTTAAGAGCACACAACATACTAGGCATTGGGCTAAGCATTTTACATATTATCTCGTTATCCCTGCCACAGCCCTGTGAGGTTGGTTCTATGATATCAGACAAGGAAATGATGGCACAGAGAGCTATCGATTTTACAAGATGAAAAAAGTTCTGGGGATAGATGGTGGTGATGGCTATACAATATTTAAATGTACTTAATGCCCATAAACTGTAAACTTTAAAACAGTTAACATGGTAAATTTTACATTATCTACATTGTACCACAGTAAAACAAAACAATTTTTGAACAACTCTAAGAGAAAATTATTTCCAACCTAGAATTGTAAAAAAACAGTGATGTACAATAACCAGCAAGGGTCAGCATTAGGCTACTTTAGAAAGGACGGTGACAGAAGCATGCTAGGACAACGTGATATCCGAGTAGAGACCTGAATGAACACATAGGAATGTCATTAAATTGTATAATGCTTAAACTTGTTCAAGTCTGCACTGGAAAGACTAAAGTATAGTAACTTCTTCCTTTTACAAATAGAGGGACTATATGATCAGACAGGGTGGAGGCGGGGCCATGGTGAGTTAAATGTAGGGAACAAAATGCCAAGGACCTACATGAAAAGCCCTCGAAAAGCTTTCTCTTTGCCATGAATGTGAATTTTTTATCTTAAAAACTAAAGAATCCCAAAGGGTGATAATCTCCCTTGCCCTCCCCATCTCCAGAAGGAATAGTTATCATCACATCCATTTTCTAAAGGCAGAGAGAAAGGAACTGCCCAATTTCATAACTAGCAATTATTACAGAAGAAAGTACCCAATTCTGAAAATCTTAGTAATTGAGCATTGACCAAAAATACAGAATAAAGATCAGCACATACTTTTAGCTAGGAAAAAAAGGGAAGGAAGAGGAAGGTGCCAATTAATATATATAATATATTAATTATATATTAATATAATAAATTAATATACAATTAATTTCTTAATTATAATAAATGAATAATATATTTATTTCATATGGCAATCCCTGAGATTTAATAAGTATAATATTATTTATGATAAAAGTATTAAACATGTTTTTCTGATATACTTTACCTTCCTGAAACCACCAGAGTTCCATCATCAAGTAAATAATCCTTCACATTCTGAGGAAGTGGAATAATGACACTAAAAAGAAAAAAGAAAGAGACACATATATCAGAAAAGGCATCATTTTAAAAGGCCAAGCATAAGCAGAGAGAAAAACATTGCAAACTCACTACTTTAATTACTTGTTCCCATTATTAGAATATGCAGCGGGAATGTTAATGACGTACATTTGGTGTCAGTAGACTAGGAATTAGAATAATATGATTAGATATTGTTGTAAGCTAAATTAGGTCCATAAAATTACCACAATTGTCTTTGTGGTAAAGAAACACAAGTCAGCTAAATCCAAAGAAGCCGACTGAAATCACAGTATGAAAGCAACAAACTCAAAAAAATTCTGAGTACAATGATTACGAGCCTTTAGAAATCAGAGAGCAGCAGACAACTGCAGCAACACAGGAACTGCAGCGAACACATCAGAAGATGAGCAGCACTTGACTACCTTCCAGGAGAGAGGGCAGATTCTGGAAACCATTCTTTGGTTGGCAATGAGCACAGAAGCCTAAGAACACATGCTATGTGTGGATGTCTTTTGGTGGCCTCATACTTCACTGATCACCAGAGCAACAAAGCTCTTTAACTGGCTGTGCTTCAGTTTAATTCCATCTTCAATATTAAAATGGCTGCACAAAAATTCCCCAGTTTTTATAAGTTTAAAAAAATGCACACTCATATGACAGCTGTCACAATACAATCTAACAAGATTTTTTTTTGAAGTTACAGACAACTAAGCACTACTAGAGCCAGCATACAGAAAAATAGTAATGGACTTTTCGGCCAACCCAATAGTTTTGGCCACCCCTGTATGTCAACTAATTAGAAGGAAGCCTTTCCAGGTATTTAACTCTCATGAAGCCAGCAAACTGACCTGTAAGTATAATAAATTCCAAGGTTCTTGCAAATATTCCAATACTATTTAAAAATGTGAAAAATTTTCTTATCCAGTTTAACGTATCACCATTCTAAACTAATTATACAATTTAAATTGGAATCACAAGGCTGATCTGTTATATATATATATATATATATATATATATATATATGCTAGTTATCCTCAAAATGGCAAATTTTTAAAGATATTAAATAAACTTAGAAAAAAGACAAAACTATTAGGTTTGAATTATTTCATCACCTCTATATTTAATCTAGCTCTCCTGGGGTTAAAGATACTTACTTTCTCAAGTAATAATGTCATCCCAATAGAATTAGAGACAACTTTTCCAAGAAAATGTGAAATTTATCTTCTTCTCAGGGACTTGAGACCGAGAAACACTGGCAGGGACACCAGCTCCTACGAGTCTATTGTGATTTCCTTGACCACAGTGAGAGAAGACAGAGCTCTCTTTTATATCAGTAAAGTCTCTCATTCCCCAAATCAATTATTTCGGAGTCCATGTCATTTATTTTTGAGTTCTACTACTTCTCAAGTCTGATTTGAACCTGGACTTTTTCTCCAGGCTGATCATCCCCTTGATTAGACTCAGCGGATCCACTTACTGTTTGATTCCATTCTGAATTATTTGCATATTCTTTCTATTTGAGGGTCTACAACTCATAGATATTAGCTGACATCACGTTAGATTTTAGTTCTCAAGAGCCACTAAGTTCTATAGTCACAGTTCTAAAGTCATCCTCATGATGTTACCTTGCACTATGTTAAGTAAGTTAAGAAGGATACTAAGGTGATTCCATTAAGAATGCAAAGCCTGTGAGGGGAAAAAGAAAAAAATCACAGCATAGTATGGTAAGTGCTGTACCAAGATATACCAAATAACACCAAAACTTGGAGGAGAAAGGAACTGTGCCTGAAAGACTAAAGTCATAAATAAGCCATTGCCAGGCATACTTTACAAGTAATGCTGTTAGAGAAGAGCATAAATTGGTCATTGAAATACATTATGCAGGCGAGAATCCAATGAAGCTTAACTGGCAGATGTAAAAGAATTAAATGACAAAGTACGCCACCAGGTCGATACAGTTCTGTATACAGACAAGGTACTCCAGAGGTCGAAGGGGCCTTTTACAAGAGTAATATAACTCGAATGTTTGAGGAAAGAAACAGGTTTAGAAAGGAAAAGTGGATGGCCCAAAGCCTTCCAGCTAATTTTTCTTAAACCTAAGCCAAAGTTCTACAACTTCTCAAAAAATGTACTTCTATTCTTACCTGCTAATCACCTCCCTGAACCATAATTAATAAATACCAGATAATAATGCTGAGTCAAAAACCAGAATAGTCAGTCTCTCAGCATTAAAGCTGACAATAACAATGACAATACTAATTCAATTCCACCGTATTAGCCTGGGTTGTGAGGGGTATCCTGCCATATTTTAGGACCAGTGATATTACCAGAGAACCAATTAGACTGAAGAGCTTAAACAGAATAAAGAATGGTTTCAGGAAACACAGCTTAGTCATGGACGGTTCAGAAAATCCCACCTCTTGGTTTATTTTTCACTCTCAGCTTAATATGAATGTTACATATTTGAAGTGAACTAAAATTATTCTGCTTCAATGGACAGTTAATTAAATAAAAAATGTAACAACATGCAGCATATCTGTTTCCTATATGCCAGAAAGTGACAAGCATTTTAACTGCTTTATCTTATTTAATGCCCACGACAATCCTATTACTGTCTCAATTTTCCACATGGGACTTAGAGAGATTAAGCACTTTACTCAAGATGCTGGTGGAACCAAAATTCAAAGCCAGGCAGATGGCCCTGACTCCAGATTCCAATTCTTAACCATTCTATTTTCTGCTAAGGGCAAAGAAAAACTACACCAGTGGTTACAAAAGAACTGCAGAGAAAGCAAATGTCAGTTTTAAGTGCACTCAGTGTGAAAATGTCTGACAGGTTCACAAACATACCTTATATCATACCAACCCAAAATAAACAAATCTATCATCACCTCAGACCCAAAGCCTATTTCAGTTATGCCAGGTAATAAAGAACTGGCATATCATATAAAACTACTTCTGTGATAGGAGGTAATGTCCAGTGCTGCTGCTAAAGACCTTTTTGTTTTCGTGTGACTTTTACCATCTTCAAATGCAAAGATTATCTTCCTTTGAGCTGCTCTAACCTCCAGTACACCATGGTAACAGGAAGGATTCTATGGATGAATAACAGAATGGAAAAGAATTGCCTTGCATAATCTCCTTATGCTCTTTAAATCCCCCCTGAATTTCAAAACTGTTTCCCTCCGTATTCACACTCTGCACTAAGAGGGCAGAATGAAAAGCGAAAGACAGTAAGTATCTAAATAAGAGGCAATCTTGGCCTAAATTACACAAAATAGTATCCACGGACATGCAGTTCTTCATCTATCCCTCTTAAAGTGAAAGCGTACTCGTGCATCGTGCTCCAGATATTATGATTGCTTTTGAACATTTGGGGTTATTCTCCTAGCTGCCTTGCCTACAATACCTGACTTTCCTGGGTGAAGGATCAAACAGTTAATCCCATGTTTGCCTTGAAAAATAGAGACGGATTCCTATTTTTTGTAGACTAGAGAACTAGAAAACAAATACTGTTCCACAACTTTTCCAGATAGCTTCCTCTCGCGTTACGTGACCATCCCCAACAACATGTGATTACACTTTACTTACGCCTTCCATATATACAGTCACACTGGAGCTTTACAATATAATTTCAGGTGAGGTGTGTATCATTGTTCTTATTTTACGAGACTGAAAGCAAGTAAGTCCCCCGGTGGGCTAGTAAGTGGCAAAGCCGGGACTATCCAGTTCTCCTGATCACCACCCCTCTTCGGTAATTCTAAAAACACTGATGAACTCCTAAATCTAAACTGGCTTAAACGACTACTCAGCAGCCTCCGACCTTCTCTGAACCATTACATATCCTCCTACCTCCTTCAGTACACTCTGATAAGCAACAGAACTAACTCACCGCAAATACGGATCTACTTCATTAATCTCCCCACCTGAAATACCACTAAGAAGTTGAGATCTTGGCCCAGGCGCTCCCATACAGTCGTTAGAAGGCCTGCCTTTTTTTTTTTTTTTTTCTTAGATAGAATTCACCCAAAATGTCGCAGTTCCCTTTCGCCATCGCCCCGGCATAGCCCCTCCGTCTTACCTCTTGATGGTAAGGTTTCGGAACAGTGGGTACCATGCAGAAAACTGACAGTGCAGCACATGCTCCTTCTTCATCCTCCAGCGGCAGCCGTGCTCACTCCCTTTCTCTCTCTCAATCCCCCTCCAGCACCCTCCCGGAACCCACCTCTCCATTTCCGGAAATGCCGGCCGAGCTATTTTGGGTACCGGACCTTTCCGGTCCATAAAACAAAAAGGAAGTGCTAGAAAAAGTTGCAGAGAATTGTGGGGAGTACTTTTAGTGTACACACACACACACATACACACACACACACACCACACCACACCCCCACAGTTTGGGTCCTAGGAATGGAATTTTGAAGTATTGAGAAGGGGACTTTAAGAACCGCACGCCTCCGCTTTCTCGGGGCGGGGGGGGGTGGTGGTGGTGGAAATGCGTACTGCCCCGGAAGGTAATCATTTAAAGCTGGGTCACTGGCTGAGGTTCTACGGGTCCCGGGAGAGGGAAGTCCTCATATAACTGCGAGGCGCGGCCGTGACTCAATCAGTGGCGCCGGCATCTCTGGAGCGTGCAGCATTGGACTTGTGCTTTCTTCTTTCGTCCCCCTTCCCAAAGGAGTACCCTTTCCTTCACCCCACACCTTGGAGTAGGTAACTGGGCGCGGGCCAGTCACGTACAAGATTATTTGGGGTAGAGGGCGGGAGCACACGAGCGTGCTGGCAGGCGCGCTCATCTCCCGGTGTTTGCTCTGGGCTCGCATCCGGGGCAGCGAGGGGGCGGCCGCAGCGGACGCGTGAGAAGGCGAGCCAAGTTCTTGGGGAAACCAGGAACTGGAATAGAGGACTTTGAGCTACTGGGAGTACACAAGTCAGGAACCATTGCAGTTATATATTAATTTGAGTGTAGTGGTTAAGACATCTGCAAAGAAGAGGGGAATGACCCCGCTTCTTTCGTGGGGGAGGGTTATGAGAAATAGGGAAAGAATCTCATCTGTACGATCCTGGGGAGGAAGACTTTGGAAGTATAAGAGGCGAGGTACATTTGGGAGAATAGAAGAAAGGGGAGAGGTTTCTCCTTTGAGCATCAAGTTCATTTATACCAGCCCCGCAAAGTCAGCAGCCTAGGAAAGCCAGATTTTATTAGTATCTATGCCATGCTGGAATCGTAAGACTGGCAGAATCCTACCTCGCACTTGTAATATCATTCCTTTTCCCTCCTCTTCCCTCCCTATCACTACTTTTCCTTATACTGCAATGACGTGTCAGGTGGCAACTAGAAACTAGAACATTAAGAAAGTTCACTTGTTTCTTGAATTAAAGAAATTAATTCAAGAGGAATTATTACCAGCTGAAAAACGCCTTTTAAACCAAGCGCTTGCTTCTTACAGTTTCATGCCTCGGGCTTATCCCAGGCACCTGTCCTTACAGCTGCACATTTTGGATGCCTTTTTTTAAATTGCACGACTCACTGGTCCATCTAAACAGTTTTGAATTAGAAAGGTAAGAGACCGACTACAGGCATCTTTAGAAACGTATTCATTAGAATAATTACTAGGTCCTCTGCCTACCTGGGATTAGAAATTTCCCCCCCCAGGCATATGCATTGTTTCATGTTTTGTTTTTCTCAAAAGTGTTACTGGTTAAGGGGTTTAGTTGGGAGCATTACTTTAAAAAGATAAAAAAGATATTTTCGAAGCAGAGCTAAATACTAGATGATAATGTGGCAATGTTTGTTGAGGGAGGGGGAAGCGGTAGTGATTCATAAATACTTCTGAGGTCCGGGATTATGCAATCCTTTTTGTTTTGAGGGGGAAAGGGAAGCAATATTCCATATACATTAGGAGAATGATGCCAAACTAATAGTGACCTCATGCCCAGATGGGGTATCACTCACATACTGTTTTGATTGACCTAGGAGTAAACAAGTTACCGCAAAGGAAATGTTAGCACTTGATCAGGGTGAATTTAGGTAAGGTCTTTTTCTCTTGAAAATAGGAATTAGGAGATGTATAAGAGAAAGTAGAAACCCCAAACAGTAATTCTGGAAGGAGTAATACAGTAATAACTGCCCAGGAAACTTGAGTGTGGAGGTTGTTCAGTGACTTCAGTATTACTCACAGTTGATTCATATAACTTGTAACACATTTATCCAGCACCAAATAAATCAACATTACAAACAGATGGTCCAGTATTTTAATGGATACAGACAGCAAAATGCGCTTTCACTATTTTTTAGCCACCGTGTTCGTCTTCATTTAGCCATTAAGTGTTTATATTCATGAAGTTTCTTCAATAAAACCTTTACAACAATGGAAATAGTTGCTTTTTCTCATGCATACCAAAAAATGTTGGTAGCCTAATAATTGGGTGTTATTGTGCACTTACAGATTAAATAATGAAAAAAAATTTTTCTTCTCTGAATCCATAACATGACTAATCCTTCTAGGATATTTCCAGCTGTTTGATTTTCTCCACTTGGAAATCTTACCAACATCTCAAACTCAGGGAGTCCAAATTTGAACAGTGCACCTCCCCACTACCACTTTCTTCCTTTGATGTCCCAATGTCCTTAAAGTCATCTCCTTGGCATTAGCTTTGGAAACTCCTTACCCAGAAGGAGTTTTAGGAAAAGGAATGAAGTCTTATCTGCAAGAAATTAAATCTTGCCACTGCTACCCCCCCTAGGCCAAACTATTCCAAGAGGTTCTTTACTATAAGGGTTATAATGTAACCCATTAAATTTCCCAAGGGTAATTAACAGTTCACTCTTGCTCAAGCAGACTAGAACTCAGTGTAACAATTATAAATTACCAAGTAGCATAATTCATGTAAAATGTTAATTCCTTCCCTGCCCATCCAACCCCATACCTGCCAAAAAGATTTTTTTTCAGTGCCTTTCCATCATTAACAAATTAAGTACAGGAAGTCATTATCTGAGGATAATTGTTATCAGCCAAGAAAAGCTCACTTAAAGAGAATCCATGTGACATGGATACCAAAATCTTACCATAAATGGTACAAAAAAAAAGAACTGATCAAAATATTAGCTTAAAAAACTACACTTTAAAGTTTCATGATTATAACCAAAATTACTACATAGAACAATACTAATTGATTCTTCATTATAAATTTAGTGGCTTTTTTTTTTTTACAGTTTTCTGTCTTTTACTCCCATCCCAGCCCATCCCCCAAATTTAGTGGCTTTTTAAGTTGTTATTCTGAAAGAATGTAGAGTGGCATCTTAGACATGTCCAAGCATTTGATGTTTGATTGTAACACAGTAGTCATAAAATTATTTTTGCAAATACTGATCTTCACCCACTTAATTTCTTTCAGAATGCCTTGTTGATTTTTTTGCCCAGTGATTCAACTTTTCCAACTGCCTGACCTTCATTTGTCAGATTCTTTGCTTATGATTTGACCTCCTACATCTTCTATTTGGTTGAGAATAGATGGTATTTATAATTCTCAAATTTCATCTGGGAGAGACTAGCCAATGTATAATTTCATGTTGTGATTTTGCTTCATTTTGCAACCTCAGCAAACTGCACATTGAGATTTGAGTATGGTAGTAATTTGAATAAAATAATAAGGAGCTTGAGTGCAAACTTCACAGCCTGGCTTTTGAGATTCTCAGTTTAACTTCTTGAATCTTAACTCCCACTTAACTTTAATACAGCTGTTATTACTAATACTGAAATATCCAACTTTGTGAAAAAATAATCACATATTATTTGTGATTCCTTCAGTGGGAAATTGAAAGAGCGAACTCCAAAAGGCGCTTACATGGGAACAAGAGTTTGGTGCATACCAGTTAGGGTTTGACAAAAAATGTCTGAGATGTTCTGAATTACAATTACAGCTTCCAGAGAATAAGAAATCGACAAAACACCCCATAAATAGCTGTGAAACAGCACTGACAAGACTGCTCACATTTCAGCGTATCTATTGGAATTTAGAATTAATTTCCAGGTGGCTATTAATCCCATTATCCAAAAGTCACCGGCTCTGTAGAATCCTAGAAGCCTCTGCTTATTTACATATGAATTTCCCTTCTACTTCCCACAGTGAATCCACTGAAGCCTACACTTCCTTTCGGACTCTGTAGCCCATCCTGAAACTAGCCCCCCTTACCTTCCTCCATCCTGCGTCTATAGCTAATGCATTGATGGATCCTTCTAGAACGGCTTACATCTCTTTCACCCCATGTGATCTATAAATACTTGCACGTCTCTGAGGGAAGACGGACATATTGTCTTTCCTACCACTATATGCTTCAGGGGGGACAGATACCATTCCCCAAGACCAGTCTTCTTTTTTTGCTAGCAGTGGCCTGATAAACCCTTTCTTTTAAAATGACTGAGTTGTAGAAGTTAAAAGTTTTAACAGGTTGTTGGGTGATTTGCCTGCAAATTTGAAGGCATGTAGCCAAATCAGCCTTTGGAGATGTGCTGCAAATAGTAACATTATCCATTACACGTGAGTTGTTTTGTTTTGTTTTTTGAGGGGTTGGGGAGGGAAAGCTTGAGAACCACCAGGCTTGCCAAACTCACATATAGCATCCCTTCCCCCATATAGTGTACTTTGTGGTGGTACCTTCTACTTGGAATGCCTTCCCTGCCTTCTTGGTCTGTAAATCTCATGTTAATAACAAACTGCCTTTTAGTGGTAGCATTTAAAAAGTCCAATTTTCCCTTCCTCCCCACTGTATGTGATTTGTCCCTCATTTAAAGCACTCAGGTATTGCGTTGTCCCTGTAGACATTTACCCGTGTGGTTATTTGTGGAACAGTATGATCCCGAAGGGCAGGCATAGTGGTCAATTTGCACTTGGTATACACTCAAACATTTCAACTGTCCGTGCTCTCAAGGTTAAAAAGACTACTGTAGAGGCATTCAATATCCTGTGTCCTGGAAAAATACATTTGACACACCATAGACTTTTCACTGTTCAAACTGAACAGTTAAAATGGCTACGTGAATTCAAACAGTAGAGCATTCAACATTATGTACATGGGTATTTCTTTTAAGTATAGCACACATTGTAGATGACCTTAAATTCTGGCTACTGGCATAGATAAAATTCAACTTAAACTTGACTTTTAAACCTCGACATAGCATTAAGTTTAGGAAAGCTGTTCTGTCAGGGCCACAGGAGTGTGAAGCAAGGA